GCAGCCGAAGTTGGTTGCACTCTTCAACCCAGGCCAGTTCCAATCTCCAAATCCCCGTCCGTGCGCCCCGCTGAAATTGCCTTAGACACAGCTTCCCAGGCAACCCCCTCGGGCAATTCCAGGCTCCCTGCCGAGCTCTGGGGGCGGAGTCAGAATTGCTGCTTCCTTCTCTGGGTCCGGTGGGCGCGCATGCGCGGGGGCTTGCCTGCCGGGTGTGCGTAGCCCAAGCCCGCTGGAGCAGAACACCTATTTTCAAGTGCACATGGAACATCCACCAGGATAGAGCATATATAGGCCACAAAATAAACTTTAGTAAATTTATTTATTTATTTATTTTTAATGTATATTCATTTTTTGAGACAGAGAGACCTAGCATGAGTGGGGGAGGGGCATAGGAAGAGGAAGGCAGAGTCTGAAGCAGGCTCCAGGCTCTGAGCAGTCAACACAGAGCCCTACGTGGGGTTCAAACTAATGAAATGTGAGATCATGACCTGAGCCCAAGTTGGAACCTTAACTGACTGAGCCACCCAAGCGCCCAAACCTTCGTAAATTTAAAAGAGTTGAAATAATGTAAGATATGATCTCTAACCACAATGGAATTAAGCTAAAAACTGATAAGAGAAAGATATCTGTAAAATTCTCAAATACTTGGAAGTTATACAACATACTTATAAATACCAGTTAAAGAGGAAGTCACAAAGGAAGTCCTCCTTATTGTCAAGGGTTCTTAGGCAATAAGACTAGCTACCTAAATTGGGTTTGGGAATAGAGAAAGGAAAAAGAGGCATTTATGGAAGAAGGCAAGAATAGGCAAACATGAAGGAGAGGAAAACATTTGTTGGTATTTCAAAATTATTATCCTTTCAGACTGAGTAGTATTCTCTCCTAGTATCCTACATTTCTTCTCTGAAGAACATAATATACTTTAAATAATTTGTTTAATATCTATCATCTGTGCTAGCCTATGATCTCTTTAACGGTCTGTCTTATTCACTTCTGGATTCCCCCAAACCAAGCAAGGTAACTTGCACTTAGTAATCACCTAATAACTGTTGCCTAACTAACTACCCTACCTCTCAAACTTGTAGCTTCATCCAAGCTGAGCTTGTGCATTATATTGTTCATGCCCCTATATATTCATCTGTGTGGATTGTCCAATAGTCCCAATTTCTTCCTAACCACCCTCCAACCCTAATCCACCAGAAGAATTCTTATTTTTACTTTGAGCTCCAGTTTAAACATCTTCTCTAGAAAACCTTACTGACTTCCCTTAACTGGAGGATTGTGCTACCCCCATACCTTGTACAATCTTCCCTTGTAGCTAGCTCTGCATTAAAATGGTGTTTTCATGTCTGTTTTCCCTTCTTAGTTGATGCTGACCCTTCCATACCTACCTTAATAGTTGTCACATAGTAGACTCTTAATACATATTTGTTAAATGAATAATTCCTTTTCCCATCTGTCATGTGATATGTACAGAGAAGTGTTATGCCTAGATAATTATTATTAGGTTTGTGAAGAGAACAAGCCCCAAATTCTTTACATGGAAACTAGTTAAAATCAGAATTAATCAACTTCTACAAAGATGAATGTCAAATCCTTCAAGAGAGCTGTTATTGGAATTTCTAACCACTGCTATAATGACACTTAAATAAATAGTAAATCAACCCAATTTTATTGAGTTCTCCAAAGAGAAAATAATACATTTATGCCTACAATTCCTTTAAAATTGGAGGGTAGCTACGTTCGTTTGGAAAAGCTCAGTGCACAGTTAGGAAGAAATTTATGCAAAAGAACTTTTTCATGTGACCAAATTCAATGTTGTGTGAGGCAAATGCCTTAGTTAACACAACTTTTTTTTTTTTATGTACTTACTTCCAGAATTGGAGTTAAAATGTCATTATTAGGAAATTCCCAGCCACGCAAACAAAAGAATTTAGTTAGTGTGTAGGACAAGCAATGTGTGACTGTGTATAGTTTTAAGTGTGTTAGATCTGTAAAATAATGGTTTAGTTGAAATGTAAGGACTTTAAGACAGGCACACAGAGGCCTCAACTTCTACAACTCTCACCAACATGCTAGAGAAAAGATGTATAGTGCAGAATTGGGTCTAAAGTTAACATATTCAATTCTCCCCAATGACACCAAGCTTTTAAAGCAGGTGATCTTACTGATGGAAATGAATATAGTTCTGATTGTTTATTTTTTAAACATGAACAATATAGAAGCAAAATACTCATCCCCTTGTTCCTGGTTATATATAAGATACCTTGTTACAAATACCTGAAAATCATTTTAAGCTGAGATGATAAATATGAGAAAAGCCATAGATAAATGTGTGACTTGTTTATAACTTGTTAGTCTCAGGTTTAGAGGTGGGAGTGGAGCAGGAAGGAACTAGAAGGAAATATGAGATCTAGGTTCCAGTCAGCTATAATTCTTGAGTCACTTAAGGAAAATTTAAATTCCCTTCTCATGTAAAATGAGTCCTGCCTACCTGAAACTCCTTGCACAGAGCCAAGACCAGCTTTATGCCTTGTACATTCAGAAGGAACAAAATAGTGATCAGATGGGATCTTCTTCTTTCCTTTCATTTCACAGAACTCAGTGAAGAGAATTCTCATGGAAACAGACAACCTACCAAGCTAGATTATTTCACTTCCACTGAAAGATCTTACTTCAAATTCCATTCCATTCTGATCAAGCCTTTCTTAGAATATATATCTAGAATTTAAACTAAATTGTCATATGCTTGTGTAAATGTTACTCTGAAATTATTTCCTTAACAAATTAGTCATTTATTCAGTAGTCATTCTTCAACAAATTTTATTGAACATATACTACAGACCAGGTATTGCACTGCTTCAGGTCTTTGCCCTCACGGAATACATAACCTTGTGGGAGAAGCATACCATGATAAATGAATGAGTATGTACAACACAAAGAGTGAACCCTAATATAAACTATGGGCTTTGGGTGATTATGATGTGTCAGTGTAGGTTCATCAATTGTAAAAATGTACCACTCTGGTGGGGGATGTTGGTAATGGTAGAGGATGTGCATGTGTGGGGGCAGGGCTTATGGGAAATCTCTATACCTTCCTCCTATTTTTTCTGTGAACTTAAATCTGCTCTAAAAATAAAGCCTAAAAATATATGTATAATAAAAGAAACATACATAAAAATAAACAAGTAAATGATAATGATTACAAATCACAGTAAGTACAATGAAGGTAATAACAGGGAATAAAATAAAGCATGTGAAGTGACTTATTTTACATTTGGGTTTCCGGGAAAATCTCTCCAGGGGGTGATATTTAAGTTGAAATCTGAAGAATAAGGAGCTAGCTAGGGTGTCTGTGTGTGTGTGCGTGTGTGTGTGTGTGTGTGTGTGTGTGAGAGAGAGAGAGAGAGAGACACACACACACAATGTTCCAGATAGAGGAGAGACATGTGTAAAGCCCTGAGATGGGAAGAAGTGAGGAAAAATGAGAGGCTGAAAGAAGACTAGTGAGTGATATCGGCAAGAGCTGAAATTTAAGAGTAAGAGGCATAATCATGCAGGACTGTGTAAAACAAAGTAATCGGTCTGGATTTTATTCTACTGACATGGGAAACCACTGAAGGATTTTTCAGCAGGTAGGTAATATGATTCTCTGTATCCTGAAAAGATTAGAGAGTGCAAGAGTAAAAGGAGCCAGGTTAGGTCTGTCTTCTCGCCTGCAACTAGATTTTATTTTATTTATTTTTTATTTGCATTTTTGTTTTTTTCAATATGAAATGTACTTACTTTTAAATGTTGACTCACAAATGGAAATACAGTGTGGCAAAATAAAACAGGGTTGCAACTAGATATTAATAGTGAAAAGAATAGTTACTGCCCCTCAGGGCCTAGTCCTGGGCACAAAGAAGGCATCCAAATGCATGCTTACTAAATAATAAATGTAATTTTTATGTTTTATGATCTGGTATACTTTTTTACTTTAATAACATTTATAACAGTAACTAAACAAAAGGCAAGTGCATTAAAAGACCTTTCCTTATGAGACTAACAACACCTGTTTTATTTTTACATCTAAAATTGGGTATCAAAAGATAACCACATTCAGCCAGGCAAGGAAGATGAAGAGCAGAAGGATGAGAGATGACAATTTTTCCCTCTTGCCCATAATCCTATTTCCTCCAACTCATTTCTCTGTGAATGTCTTTGGCTAATTTAAGGAACCTATTCTTGACTACAGGAACCATATGTTGTTTCTAAATGTTATGCCCTTAGAAACAGCTTAAGTTATATTTTTTGGAGGGGGGTTACTCATACTTGATCTTTATAAAAAGCATCATCATCATAATAAATAATCTCAGTAAGAGTATGATCTTTTGAATGTTTGTTGGAGATAGTAAAATATTTCACTTTTGCTTATTCATTAAAGCCATGAAATTCTGCTATTAACTGTGTATGTGCAGTATGATCCAGATTTTCACATCATGATCATATAATTATGAATAATATGTTATTTGATTCAGCAAGTATCTGATTTACATATGGAGGTCCATAGCACTGGAAAGATGAGAAATATATGTCGTGCGGGGTGCCTGGGTGGCTTGTCGGTTAAGCCTCCGACTTCGGCTCAGGTCATGATCTCATGGTTCGTGGGTTCGAGCCCTGTGTCGGGCTCTGTGCCGACTGCCAGCTTGGAGCCTGGAGCCTGTTTCAGATTCTGTGTCTCCCTCTCTCTGTGATCTTCCCTGGCGCTCTCTCTCTCTCTCTCTCTGTCTCTCTCTCAGAAATAAATAAAGCACTTTAAAAATTAAAAAAAAAAAAAGAAATATATGTCGTGCAGTATTTTACATTTCTATTTTGGGTATATTCACCTAGTCTAAATTATAGAAACAAAGTCTAAATTGATTTCCGATACATTACAAAAAAATCATTTGCCTACTATTTCTATTTAATTTGCTTTCTTAAAAAAATCTTCCTTAAAACAATCTATAAAACTAATAGGCAACCGACGGAATGGGAAAAGATAGGTGCAAATGGCATATCAGATAAAGGCTTAGTATCCAAAATCTATAAGGAACTCACCAAACTCCACACCCAAAAAACAAACAATCCAGTGAAGAAATGGGCAGAAGAGATGAACAGACACTTCTCCAAAGAGGACATCCAGATGGCCAACAGACACATGAAACGATGCTCAGCATCCCTCCTCATCAGTGGAATACAAATCAAAAAACCACACTGAGATACCACCTCACGCCAGTCAGAGTGGCTAAAATGAGCAAATCAGAGGACTCTAGACTCTGGCGAGGTTGTGGAGAAACGGGCACCCTCCTACACTGTTGGTGGGAATGTAAACTGGTGCAGCCCCTCTGGAAAACAGTGTGGAGCTTCTTCAAAAAATTAACAATAGAACTCCCCTATGACCCAGCAATAGCACTGCTAGGAATTTACTCAAGGGATACAGGAGTGCTGATGCATAGGAGCACATGTACCCCAATGTTCATAGCAGCACTCTCAAC